AGGACCTGACCATTCCAGTGCCCCCAGAGCAGCTGTGACCAGGGGGGTGCCAGCCCACATACCCCTCACGTCCTGCTAAGGTCCTTTAGAGAAGGGCCCGAGAGCCCCAAAGTGCTTCTCAGTGGACAGGTGGCCTCCACTCTCCCTCCCAGGTGTCCTCCTTGCTTTCCTAAAGTGGATCTTTCCGTCACATACGTCAAGGACCCCGCTGCCTTCTCTGGGACCTCCTGTCGCCCCCTCTGGTGACACGGGAGTTCACCACCACCCTCTGTTACTCCGGCTGGCTGACATGGCAGCCAGCCTGTCCCCTGGCTACTGGCCTAAGCCACAGTGGCCCCAGCACCCCCTGCCAGGACAGCTGCCCTGTCCTCCTGCCCACCCCTGGGACGGGGCAGGACCCAGGCAGCTGGGGGTGGAAGGGAGAAGATGAGGAAGAGGCTCTTTCTAGTTGCCCCACAGCCTGTCCCCAGCCCGTGCTCAGGGACATTGGGCCTTTGAAACCAACAGATCCTGACTGGACAGCGGCGCCTGGCCTCCCCACGGGCCTCCTGAGACTGTGTTATTCGGGACGTGTGACCCTCCATCTGGGGAGTGTGGGCTGTGGCCATTCCTGGGCAGGTCTGAAGAGGGTCCCTGGGGAGGGGCACGAGGGAGCCCCTTCCCACCCACCGCGAGGACCTGAGTGTCCCACTTGTGGGGCCGCCCAGGGGCTCAGATTAGCCCCCGTCCGCGCGGCTGCCACCTGACCCGCGGCTGCAGTCACGGGCTGTAAGCCATTTACACGCCCTTTACTCCAGGTGGTTCCTTGGTCCCCACCTTCTGCTTCCAGGTTCACTGGGAAGCACTGTCTGAGCGGGTAGTTTGTGTGAGACCTAGAGACACCTGTCCCTGGGGAGCACGGTGAGGGGAGCGGAAGAGGCGCAGATGAGAGCCGCTCAGGGCCGACTGGCAGGAGGGTGGCGGGCGAGGAGAGGAGCGGGCAGGATGGGCCTCAGGACACTGGTGCGTGCTGCCGAGAGAAGGGCGGGACAGAGGTGCTGGGAGGCTGGAGGTGAAATCCATCCCGCTGGATGCTGAGTGTGACTGTCCCCTCCAAACACGTGCTGAAATTCAATGGCCATCGCTTGGCCGAGGCAGGAGGCCGGCGAGTTCGAGGCTAGCCCCGGCAACTTCGTGAGCCCCCTCTCAAAATACAGAAAGAGCGCCCTGGGTTCAGTCCCCAGCACCCACAAAGGAAGGAAAGAAAGAAGGGAAATCAGAGAGAAACAGTGTCGAGAGGGGGCTCTTAGGAGGCCCCGTCTGCCGGGCTCCTGGCTCCTTCCAGCATCGGGGTTCGCCTGGGTCCGTTTCCATCGATTTCTTTTCTCTTGGCCACTTTCCCTGTTTCTCTGAATGCTGAGAGACCTTGGTTTTGTCCTGGTTATGGTGAATGATACATTATCCGGGCTCTGGATTCCGCTACGACCCTCCAGAGACTATTAATTCATCTGTTTGAACAGACAATTTACTTGGTGGAAATTCTGTAGATTTGTCTCCTTTGTGGTGGAGGCAACTCAAATTTTGGTTTCGTTTTTTTTTTTTTATTTTCCCCCTTCACTGGGCTGCTCGGAGCCTGCTGTGCCCACACCGCCCCGGGCCGGGGATGGAACTCAGGGGCACTTACCACCAAGCCACATCCCCTGCCCTTTTGATTTTTTATTTTGGGGTGGGTCTTGCTGAGTTGTCTAGGGCCTCGCTAAACGGCCGAAGCTGTCTCTGAACTCACGATCCTCCTGTCTCAGCCTCCCAGCTGCTGGGATCACAGGGTGGCCACTGTGCCCGGCTCTCCATTCTGAGTCTCTTCCTCTCCAGCTCTCACGTTCTAGAACTTGTGCCCCCACTTTCCGGCTGCCACTCTGTGGCAGTGTGGTCACCCTAGTCTCTGTTCTCTAGCTTTCCAAGCCAGGGAAGTGGAAGCTGTCCAGGTG